AGTTTTCGGCGGGACAGTCCAATCAAGTGTTTCCGCTGCAGACGGGAACAATCAATTTCGCCAATTAAGTGTTCCGCTGCAGGTGGGGACAACCATTTTCTGCGGTTCAATCCAATCAAGTGTTCCCTCTGCAGGCGGGAACAAACAGTTTTCGGTGGGGCAGTCTAATCAAGTGTTTCCGCTGTGAACGGGGACAATTTGTTTCGCTGTATCAGACCCGATCAAGTTTTCCCGCTACATGCAGGAACAGTCCTTTTGCTGATGTAAACCAATCAAGTATTTTTGCCGCAGGCGGGAATAACACATAGTAGCAGTCACTTTCACTTTTCAGCCAATCAAAGAAAGCCGCTGTTGGAGGGGACGCCCGGTTTGCTGGTCGGTCAATCAAGTACTCCCACTCCTGGGAGGTGCGGACGGTTCCATGGTCCAGCCCATCAAGCAATTCCTGCTGCTGGTGGGATCGGTCAGTTCGTCGCTGAATTGTAGACAATTTATTTTATTTTATATATATATATATATGAGTATACTGTTATTCCTGTTTTTTTTCTTCTGCCTATGAGAATGAGCCAAGGTCTTTCTTTCTTCATTTCTGAGATGCTTGGCTTGTTTTGATCTCGGTCAGGCACTTCCGAGCTTGAGCCAGTAAACAAATGAACAGCTTTACAACAGGGTTCAATCCTTCAGCACGCGGTCAGCCTCTGTTCGGGGGGGCGAAATCAGAATTCTTGCTATTTCGTATGAAAATGCTCAATTTGTCGGCCCGCCCTCACCAGTGAAGGGAGCTCATTCTGAACATCCTAGTAGCAATGGGGCACATTTCCCATTATTAAACCCCGCGTTTTTGGGGCATGGCGAAACAGCAATGGTCAGTTGAAAAAAATGGCAGATGCCATTGTCCTCCGATGAGAGAGGTTGTTCGTTATGACAACAAACGTTGATGTATGCTCAATCAGATTGAAGCGGAATATTCTGAACTGCTAATAGATTTGTTTTTGAATTTGCCGTGCAATTAAGAGAATTCTTGAAATGGAATAATTTGGGTTGGTGATTATTTTATTTCTAAATTTGTTGTGCAGTGAAAAGGGCTTTCGAACTCGCTTCGGGGAAAGGTAGTGACAAGCAAAACGTACACTCATCTCCCTACCGACGGCTGAGGACCTCTGAAGCGGGCTCAACGAGTGACAGGCGCTGTTGCCCTTGGCTTCAGCAGGCGGTAGGCGACCCCTCCCCGGGTTTCCTCACACCGGTACCATACGGAGTCAAAGCCTGTAGGATTCGCGCGGGGATCTTTAGGGAATCGACTCTGGACCGCGAGGTTGGACGGGATTACGGTTACCAAAGGGTCTTCGGGGTATCCCAGAAGATGTTTTAGAGTGGATGGTGTTCCATGATAGGGAACTGGGATGCTTCGTCGTATCCTTCATAGAAGGCGGTGAGACCCGTAGGTTAATCCCTAGCAACGGGGAGATCCCCGATTGGGAGAGGATAGAGGGGGGGAGGGTCACGGTCGGTGGGGAATTCGTGTGGATAGAGTCCAAAGAGATTGAGGGCCGAGAGGTTGAGAGGGGTCTCGAGGTGACCGCGGTTATCTTCGTAGCCCCGGAAGATTGGGCAAAGATTGTAGTACCCCTGGTCCTGGGACAAGGGGGTGGGCTGGACAGGTTGTTGTTTGAGGCAAGAGAGGTGCGAAGGGAGTGGATAGGAAGGGTCAAGGAGCGACTCAAGTTTGTGGCCATAGAGAAAGTGAGGTTCGCGAAGGAGAAAGAGCTTCCAAGAGCGTGCTATCCGTCGACTGTGAAGGAACCGTCTTTCCTGTTCCAAGGGACAAACGAAGGGAGGATAGTGAGGCTTCTAGAGAGGGGGAGGAGCTCGGGGTTACCCTTTGGGGCCTTGTGGACGCTGTATACGCATTGCATCGATCAAGGTGTTCCCCCGCGCAGGAAGCTTTGGGGTATCTTTAGGAGATTGGGGTCTCTAGAGAAACCCTTCACTCTCTCACCGGAAAGATATCGCCAGTGGGTTTTTAAAACACACCGGTAGATGGTAAGATTCGTTCTCGGCGATAACAGGGCGGTAGAGTCGATAGAGGTTAGTGACACGGGAAAAGTCTTGATTCCGAGGGACCCTCGCGTGACCCCTTACTGGATGAGCGTAGAGAAAGGGGGAGTGATCAGCGAAGGGGCCTTCCCGTGGGTTCGGGCTCGCAGACTCACTTGGAAGGAAGGTGTGGAAAGAGGGGGCCTACCGGACCTCGGTCCTTTCCTAGAGATTCGGGTTACAATCTTCCTCAACGAGGAGGTGTGGACTGAAGTGTGGAAGGGCTTAGTGACAGAACAATTGACCCATACGGAATACCGGGAATCTGCGAGGCAGGTCGCAAATAACCTAGTGCTGGCTGAAACGGTTTTCACCTTTTAGCAGTAGCGGATGCAGTACCCAGGGTTCGATCCCTAGAACTCACCTTACCCATGTACAGTATCTGTATAGACCCCGGGAATTGAACCTGTGACCTGTGTATTCGTAGGCAGTTGGTAGGCTTGTCGTAGGTCCCTAAGCAGCAGGGGTTCGGTCTGTAGGTCTATAGCGTAGGAGTCCTAGTGAGTTCCGGAAGCTTAGTTGTAGACCTTCTAGAAGATAGGCAAGTGGGCAAGTGGTCAAGTGGCGAGGCAAGTGGTGGACTAAACCGCAGTGCAACAGCAGTACAACGTCGGTAGGATGGCGATRAGTCCACAGTCAGTCAGCGGAAGGTCCAGTCAGTCCCAGTCYGGTCCAGCAAGTACCACAGGGGGACTGTAAGCACCATGGGCCGATGACAAAGGGCAGACCAACGGGTTTCTGAAGTATAAATCAAGAGGCAGCGCCCAGCCATTCATTCATTCCTGCGTGAGCCATGMGGAAGCGCTGCCACAGCGACTTGTGCAAGGAGGTCTGCAGATGAGCCCGGAGRACGCAGTGGGCAGGAGAGAGGGAGTTAGCATAGCGATAGGTTAGATGCAGCGATAGCTGCCATAGCTGTAGTTAGTAGTGAGTGTGTGTGTGTGTGTTCAAGTGTTAGAGTGATGCGTGTGGGATATCCAGGGTGATCCAGTGTATGTGAACAGTGAGATGTTTGGGCGCTGAAGTCGCCATAGCCACTTGAGAGTGAACTCGTATCTGAAAGCCATATTTCTGAGTTTTGAGTGGGCGCATGTCGCCAGTATGAGGCGTTGCTGTTTACATGTATGAAAAGTGTGTTTGAGAACGAGTCTGATTGCATTGGTATCAAAGCTGGTACCCGCTATTCCATGCGCGTCGTTGTATGCAGGGCTTGATGCGCCATAGCCGAGGTGGTAATTGAAGGAGACAGTCCGCCATAGCGGACCTGAGATTGAAGAAGCCGCCGCGCACCTGCAAGGAGACCATGACGAAGAAGAAGACCGAGA